TTCTCCTTCAGAGTCTACTTCAGTGTCTTGCAGCATGTCAAATTCTGCAAATCTTCTGGGAACGCTTCTGATTCTTTGTGGTCTCTGAACTTGTTCAGAGTCTTGAGCTTCAGAGTTTCCAGCTTCAGATGGTTGATTTCCTCCAGAGCTTTGACCAACTTCAGGATCTGGCATATTTCCAGAGTCTTGAACTTCAGAATTTCTAGCTTCAGAGGCTTGACTTCCTCCAGAGCCTTGGCCATCTTCAGAGTCTGAATTTCCACCAGAATCTGGATTACCATCAGAGTCTGGATCATCAGAGTCACCTTCATCTTCTGAGTCTTCTCCAGAGTCAGAATCACTATCAGAGTCAGAATCAACGTCAGAGTTTACTTCAACTTCAGAATTTCTTAGCTCTAACCTTTCTTCAGAAGTTCTAACATCAGAATCAGATTGGGACTTATCCCAATTCCAAACTTCTGATTCCTTCACAATCACATCTCTGCTGAATTCAATTTTGTTGGTTTCTGGACAATAGAGCTTGTATGCACCAGTACTGTGGTACCCTATTAGAATCATCACTTTGCTTTTATCATCCAGCTTCTGTCTTCTGGCTTCTGGAACATGTTTATAGCAAACAGAACCAAATACCTTCAGATGACTAACACTTTGCTTGTCTCCAGTCCACTTCTGCATAGGAACTATTTCCTTCAACTTCTTCGTAGGACATCTGTTGAGTACATACGTTGCAGTGGCAACAGCTTCTCCCCAGAGCTTCTGAGGAAGCTTCTTCTCCTTTAACATGCTTCTCACCATATCAAGCAAAGTACGGTTTCTTCTTTCAGCAAGACCATTGTGTTGAGGGGTATAAGGAGCAGTAACCTCATGCTCAATTCCATTCTCCTCACAGAACTTCTGGAACTCTTTGGAGTTATACTCACCTCCACCATCAGTTCTAAGAATCTTCAACTTCTGACCACTCTGATTCTCAGCCTTCATTCTGAACTTCTTGAATTCATCAAACACCTCGTGTTTGAACTTAATAAGGGATACCCATGTCATTCTTGTGAATTCATCAACAAACAACACAAAGTATTTATTCCCTCCAATTGATGCTACTGGAAATGGACCACACACATCAGAGTGTACAACTCCCAAGGTATGTTTTGCTCTTGGAGCAACTTCTGATGCAAATGGCAATCTTGGTTGTTTTCCTTCCATGCAAACTTTGCATGACTTTTCAGGCTTCTTAATTGCAGGAATTCCATGTACCAATTTCTTTGAATTCAGATGTTGTAAGCTTCTGAAATTCAAATGACCAAATCTTCTGTGCCACAGCTCACTCTCCTTCTCAGTACTTGTTGCACTAAGACACTCTGAGTCTGCAGTTCTGACATTCACCTTGAATGTTCTATTCCTTCCCTGTTCTGACTCCATAATCAATTTCTGATTACAGTCATACAGCTTCAGAAGATTGTCCTTCATGGTAACTGAGAAACCTTTCTCAATTAATTGTCCCACACTCATCAGATTGCTTCTGATGCCAGGTACATACCACACATTCTGAATCAATGCTATTTTCCCATTGTTCAGAGTCACTCTGACATTTCCCATACCTTCTGCATTAAGATATTTGTCATCAGCACATCTGATCTTTGTTCTCTTTTCAGAGTCAAAGTCAACCAGCCATTTCTTGTTTCCAGTAAGATGATTTGAACAGCCAGTGTCCATATACCACCAGTCTGTCAGATCCACATTATCAGATTCAGAGGCCATCAACAGCACAGATTCGTCATCAGAGCCTCTGGCTATATTTGCTTCTTCTGATTTCTTCTCCTTGTTTGACCAACAATCTCTAGCAAAATGGCCAAACTTCTTACAACAGTAACATTGTATTTTTCTTTTGTCATACTTCTCTTTTCCCCTCTGAGCATTCTTTTGTCTATCAGAGGTTGAGCTTTCTGACTTCTGACCACCATCAGATCTTCTCCTGGCTTCTGACTGCTTCTGATACCTCCTATCAGAAGTTGCTTTCAGAGCCTGCTGTTCTACTTCCTTTTCAGAGTTTCTCTCAGTCAGACGCAACTCTTGCGCTTCTAGACTGCTCTGCAGCTCTTCAATTCTCATTGTGCTCAGATCTTTGGAATGTTCTATTGCTACCACAATGTAATCAAATTGAGGAGTAAGGGATCTCAACACTTTCTCCATGATTGTTTCTTCAGAAAGAGTTTCTCCACATGCCTTCATCTCATTAGTGATCAGAATCACTCTGGAGATGTATTCAGAAACTTTCTCATTATTCTTCATGTTGAGATTCTCATATTGCTTTCTCAAGGACTGAAGCTTCACCTTCTTCACTGATGCGTCACCACCATAACATCTCACCAGAGTGTCCCATGCAGCCTTTGCTGTTGTAGAGTCTGCAATCTTCTCAAACACGTTTACATCCACACATTGATGAATGAAGAACAATGCTTTCTGATCCTTCTTCCTTACTTCCTTCTGCGCGTTTTTCTGTTCATCAGTTGCATCTGCTGCTACTGGAACATAACCATCAGTGACAAGATCCAGAACATCTTGAGCACCAAACAGCACACGCATCTGGATCATCCAACGATTCCAGTTTTTACCATCAAATACTGGAAGTTTGGTGTTCATGTTGCCGTTTCCGTTCATCTTCTACTTTGCACAATACACTCAGAGTTTTCTCACACAGTGTTTCCCAACCCACAGAATTTAAAAATTCTGATCAGATTTTGTTCAAGATTCAACAAGAATCTGAGAAACAAAATCAAACACACAAGACCTCACGTTCACTCGTGTTTCCCGTGTTTCCCAATGAATCTGAACCGGAGCTCTAGATACCAATTGTTGGTGCAAAGATAGAATAAATGATGAAATAGGAAATATTACTAATAAGAGAATGACGGCTACAAAACATGATTTTTGTTACAATGATTGTCACCCTATTTATAAGCTAAAACTAGGGTTACTAGAATAAGATAAATACTAAAATACCCTCTAACAAACTTAGGGGCCAAGAAAATAGTACAACTAAATAAATATGAATTATTAATAATATTCTAATAATTCATACAACATATACAATGATTCTATTTTAAGATATAACTAATCATCTCGGAGACTCGGACTTAAACAGAAGTGTCTTTGATTTATAAGCCAAATTAAATTGAATCAAATATATGGTTCAGTTTGGTTTAGTTTAAAACTGATTTTTGGTTGAACTATTTTTAAAACCAAATTTTCTTAAACTTGTTTTTGATTAAAACTCACTTTTCAATTTAAACAACTTTTTTCTAATATCATCCAATCGTTTTAAATTTATTTTTAAAATTAATAATCTCTTGACGGTGGTAGATATTAAATCTCAATTATGATATTTACAAAATTCGATCAACAATAGTATGATTTTTTGAAAGAATATAAAATCAGTAGAAATAATAAAAAAAAGGGCAAAAGAAACATAATAACAAATCATAACAAAAACAACAATACACTGTGACATAAAAATCTAAATATTTTTACTAGAGAATGTTTTTTAAATGCATGGAATGAGATAGGAATAAAATTACATATATCAACAGGATATTAAATTGAATTAATAACTAACAATTATGAAACAAATATATTAAAAATTGTTAAACCATTGTGTTAGATTTCAATTGAGGAAATCAAATATGAATTACAAATTTATTTTACTTTAATTTACTAATACTTATTATTTTGGTTATATTTAAAAAATTTTGCATGCCAGAAATTGAGAGTCATGACTAAAAGAAAAGAAGGAGATTTCAACTTGAGAGAGAATTAATGAAGACCATAAGCAGAATGTGGCAATGCATTAATGTGTAGTTAAGTGTTGTTGTCTTGATATCTACAGTATATCGTTAATTTATAACCATGAATTAGAGATAAGATGAAGAGTAGATTGGTTAACCATTTATATATTAATTTTAAAAAATTAATATTGATATTTTCTAATTTTAGTAAAATAGATTTGAATTAGTTTTAATAAAAATAATATGGACATTGAAAATAAGTGCACCATATTTTTAAAATTGGTTCTTGTGAATTAGTTGTTTTAACACCCTATACCTAAATATGAAGAATTGAAAATTAATTTTAATTGATTCTAGCATTTATGTTACAATTGTTTGAAGTCATAATGTTTTTTTGAAGACTTAACAAGGATGTTGCTTGTTGTGATTTGTTTGATATATAGATAGTAAATATAATTTTTTTTTATAATTCGAAAGAAAGATGTGTCTATGCTTCGAGAACCTTGGGCTAAATTGAGTATATGCATATACTAGATTTTTAAATAAGTTGTCATTGAACAATTCTTTTAGGCCTAGTAGAAATTTCACATTATGGTTCCCTCTCGAACATAGACATCGACAATTCTTCATCAGCCTTGTCCATAAATTGAGAAGTAACTCAAATGAGAGTATGTACAATAATATCTAGCTTTAATTCATTTTTTTTTAAGTCACTCAAATTAATTTATTATTTCTATTTAGTCTCATAATTTAAAAATGTTACAATATAATTTTTTTAAGCCAACTCTATTAGCCTAATAAATTATTTCTGTTAAATTTTATTGAAAAAACGTTAACAGACACCTATGTAACATAATGAGATATTGATGTGACATTTTGTTTTTTTAATTATTATTATTATATGTATTGTAATTACTAAAAAGAAATATGATTTTCATCTTCATTTTTAGAAACATAAAATCTCTAACTCCTAAGCTTCTCTCTCAATTTCATAGTTCCACTCTTATAGTCTAAAAAACTCGAGCAGTTACGATGAAGAAGAGCTCAGTGGTTGAAGACGACGATTGTTGGAACATAGCAGAAGACGATACTTATCAACGTAACCATTGTCTCATTTTCATGCCAGGGTACGTGTATGAACTTACTATTTTAAAAAGCAAACGTTTAACAGTTTCTTCTACTTCAAAGTCTCATTTCTGAGTTATTTGGTGTGATTAGGTTATGATTGATAGGTTTGACTGTGTTATCAATCATGGGGGTGTGTCTGACGAGTTTAACAGAATATGTTACAAGGGGTTAAAGAAGATTTGGCAAGTTGACCCGGATTTTTGGAGTTATTTTAAGATCCTGGGTGGGTTAAAAAATTTAGGGTACCCAAAAGTTGAGAGCTTGTGGTATTATCATGCAATGGATGATAATGAGCTAGTGATGTTGCAAGATGACGCAGGAACAAATAGAATGAAAACGATTGCATTTATCAATGAGAATGTTCATCTATATGTAATGCATCTAGTGTATGAGAAAGAGCAAATACTGCCTCTTGAAAATAATGTAGGTCCCAATGGTGTAGATGACGACATTTTGAAAGATGACATGTTGAATGAATTGAATAATTGTGTAAAAAAAACTTTTGATGACTTGGGGACCATTGAAGAATTTAATAATCTAGGTGACAAGTTTGATGAAGGAAGGCCCACTGATGTAGAAGATTCAACTGCAGTTGACCAAGAAGGTTCATTTAAGGATGTTAATGTGGATGAGACCACTGAGGGCCTTAACCAAAAAGAGTTATGTCAGGATGTTAACTTTGAGGGGGACACTGTGTCTGAGGATACAATAGTGAATATTACTTTAGATGGGACTACTGATCATATTTTATGTGACCAAGAAGATGATATATTAGATGGCACATATTATATGGTGTCGCAAGTGCGAAAAAGAGCCGGCGGAAACAAACAGAAGAGTCGCCACCGAACGTTATTTATCCCAAAGAGAGGGAAAAGAAACGATCGAAGAAAACCTAAAAGAAAGGAAAAATAAAAGGTCATCGCAACCAAATCTTGGGTTCAGGAGTCGGTTACGCAAGGGAAAGGTATGAGCACCCCTCACGTCCGTTGTACTCAACGGGATCCACGCTTGTTGTCTATCAAAGAGGTGAGTTATCTAAAAGCTACTGCTAATCCGGGGAAAAAGAAAAGAAAAGAGACTCGATAGGACATCGTCGCCATATGCCTACGTATTCCTTCGTGCAATGGAAAAGTTAGAGTCAACGTAGTTCGGGAAACTACAGGTGATAGAGGAAAGGTTGCTCGCCAAGACAACATCGTCTTGTGCCTATATATCCTCATCTGGTATGAGAAATCAGAGCAAATGTAGTTCGGGTAAACTAGACCACTGGTTGGTTAAGTATTTTTTACGAGCGACGTTAAGTTCTCATTCCAGCAGTTAGGGTTGATGCATGTTTGCGATAGAACGGAAAAGTAACGTACTCTTTTCTAAAAATAAAGTTGAAGAACAATCCTGAAGGATAAAAATGTTTGAATTTGGTTTGTTGGTTTTAGTGAAGTGGATTGAGTTAGTTTGAGACCCACGTTGTGCTAAAGACTATAACATAGGAGCGAATACGTCACATATCGCCTAAAGGGCATACGCTAAACACTATAGACAAGTGAGGAGAAACCTTCCACTCATCATTCCTTATGTACTTAAGGCTCGTAGTGCACAATGTTTGTCACTCTTTATTAAGTGTCTTAGAGAAGTTTGAGATGAGAAGAGAAGACACGGGAAAACACTAAAGGGAAACTGAAAACCCTAATGTTATCATACAAAATGGTCCTAAAGTTAGGATGAAAAAGAAGTCTACCAAATGTTATTATACAAATGATGGACCTAGAGTTGAGATGAAAGGGGCTATCCTAATTATTATCATACAAAGGATCGAAAGCCTAGTGTCTCTCCTACTCCAATCTTAGACAGAAGGACTAGGAATCCTAAGGGGTCATGTGAACAAGCACAAGTAAACAATATCCAATTCAAACCCAGATGAAAACAAGGATAAAAGAAGTCTCAAAGAGAGAGAAGAAGAAAGATGAAGAAGAAAGACCTCAAGACCAAAGCCTCAAACACAAAAGGTCAAACCCAAACAAGATGGACAAACACCTCAAGGTAAAATATCATTGGTGCATTTCAAATCCAATCCACATCCAAGATGTGCAGACAAACACCAAAGTAAGGTAAACCAAGCATGCTCAACCAAATGAATCAAAAACCTTACAAGCAAATAAAATCAAACATGGAGTAAAGTAAAATAAAACCAGATGACCCAAGAAGCAAGGTAGGGCAACAACATAACATAGCCAACAAGTAGACATCCAATCATGAAGATGTGAGAAGGATCACATAAGTTTGAAATTCAAAGTAAAACTTCAAAGTGAATCAATCATCATCAACATCCACAAATGAGGGATCACACCAAAAAAAACATCAAAGATCCAAATGGAATGAAGAAAAGTTAGAAAATCACCTCATAATGGATCAAAATCCTTTGTTCACTCATTGGAAATTTAAATCAAAATAAAAAACAAATAAAAAAAAGAATGAAAAACCCTAAAAGAAAGAAAGAGGAGACCAAGGAATGAGTGAAGACCCAAGGACATCACCATAGGTCTAGAACCATCATAGGATCACATGAAAATTTCTCCATCATTTTTAAATGCCCAAAAATAATTTTAAACTAATTAAAATCAAGCAAATAAAAAAAATACATGAAAATACCAAGAACAGAAAACAAAAATCCAAGAAAATCACCATAAGTTCAAAACTATCATAGGATCATATAAAAAATTTCCATAATTTTAAATGGCTCAAAAGTATTTTTAAACCAATTAAAATTATCCAAAACAAAAAAAATCATGAAAAATACAAAAATTAAAAATAAAAATGTACAAAAATAAAAATGAGAAAGAGAAAAATAAAAGATAAATTTAGAAAATATTTTGGTATTTTTCTGATTAAAAATGAAATTTCTATGAACTTTTGAAAATAAAAAGGAATAAAAAACATTTTAAAAAAAGAAAATAAAACAGAGAAAACATAGTGCGTTGGATTTCATTTCATTAAATGACGTGGTTGATCCAAGGATCAGAGACCGCGCATCCACGATGGACACTAGTTAACTCATCCACACAGATCCAAACAAAGTCAAAAGCACCAGATTAGAACAAGTGACATGATGGACGGTGAGATCATCGTCTTCAACCTCCAGCCACTTGAAATAACCAGAGATTTGCAGAAAATCGTGCATCTCTCAAACCATAACCAATTGAGCTCATAGTGGTTCCATTTGATGCGTCTTTTCAAGATGATCTCAACCATATCATTGTGCCAAATTTCTTTAAACCACAACTTACTCGATTTGAAAAAAAAAACAGAACAAGATTCAAACACGAATTTGAAAATTCAACAACAAAACTCAGCTACAACTAAAAACTAACTATACAAACAGCATCAGCATGTCAAGGGCTACATCTTAGCAACAAATTTGGATAAAAATGATTGAGAATTATACTTGTTGAAGCTCTGAAAATGGAGTTCCCTAGCTTGATTCAGGCCACGATTCTTCAAGCTCTTGATCTGGTTAGCTTCACCGAATGTTGGTGAAGCTAACTAAGTGGAGAATTCGAGTGTTTAAGGTGTGAAAATGAAAATTCGAAGTTCAAGCTTAAGAGTTCAAATGGGATCTTAGCATAGTGGTTTTGGCTATCAAAAGCTTATGGAAATGGGTGGAAATGACTCCCTATTTATAGGAGAAGCTTTCTGAATCAAAATGGAGGGTGAATGAGGCAATTTGGATGGAAATCATGCACACCTGCAGCATGAGCAAAGTGTGACTTGCAATCTGTCAAAACTCACTCAAATCATGCGTTTCAAGGTGTTAATCACTTCAAGCAAGTTGGTTAAACATGCTTAAGTGAAATTCGTGCATTAATTTGGTGATTAGAAGTCATTTCAATCAAATTCAAATCTGAGTTGAAGTGAAAATCCATCTTTGAAATCCAATTTTTGCAGCCATGGTTCTCACAATGTAGGAAGCTTTATGAGATGATTCTTCTTGCATTGAATAGAGGGAGATGTAGCATTTGCAATGTGAAAATAAAGTATTGATTTGGAAACTTGAATTGAGAGATATGATCCTTCAAAGTGGCTTGCAAAAAGAGGTGAAAATCATAAAACACTTAGAAAATTTTCAAGTCTTTTTAAGGATAAAAACTGACCTATAATGTTTTGATGAAAACCAAGACCTTCCATGGGTTTTTAGCTCTTCCAAGTTGAAACAAAGTTGTAGAAGGCATATTCAAGTTTATTATAGAAAAATAATAGGCTCCAAATGATAAAAATTGACCAAGTTATGCCCTCTTGAAGTTGACTAAGAAAATCTTCCAAAACTCAAAATGACCTATAATGTCTTCCCACCTTTGATGATTTTCCAAGCATAATTGGATCTTCTTTTGCAAAAATAAGTTGTATAGGATGATGAGAAGAGTCCAATAAAAAACTAACCACCTAAAGATGTTAAAAATTGAAGGAGTTATGCTCATTTAATCGTAGCATCCACCATTTGCCTAAATTAGGTCAAGTATCTCGAAACAACTTTGAATCTCTTGATGATTTCTTGCCCCTTAAGCCATGATGAACAAAATATGATGTTGGAATGATGTTGACTTGAACCATACTTGATGATGAGGTACTTCTAGGATAGAGAATACCACAAAGTCACAGAGAACACCTTGCTTGAACTTTAATAAACACAAACCTTCATCTTTAAGACATAAACCTTGATACCTTGATCCCCTGCCAAGAACAAATGTTATGCAAACATGAATATGACAATGCAAAGAAACATAAGCCAAGAACATAAGAAAATATGAGAAAATTTTGTGGTTGTATAGATGCCCCTATTCAAACAACTTGGACCTAAATGGATGAAGAGCAACGGCTTTCAAACTTTCAAGGTAAAAGATGATTGAATACCAAAAGAACCCAGAAATTTGCAACCTGCGGGGATGCAAAACAGCGGATACCAACCAAAAGTTGGGATGTAACACGATGAGGATAACAATCCAAAGCAAACAATAGTTTATCAACCAAAAGTTGAAACGAAAACACCAAATACCAACCAAAATTTAGGATAGAGCCAAAAGATACCAACGAAGAGTTGGAATGTAGGTTACTAACCAAGAGTTAGGATTATCGGGAATAAAGAATACCAACCAAAAGTTGGGATGAAACACCCACAGGGTACCAACCAAGAGTTGGAATAACAAACTGGGGATACCAACCAAGAGTTGGGATGAGAAACAGCGCAAACCAACCAAAAGTTGGAATGCTAAACCCAAAGGATACCAACCAAAAGTTGGAATAACAGGAAAAGACTACCAACCAAAAGTTGGGAAATGAATCTGTCGGGGCAAAACAAGGACTGCCAACCAAAAGTTGGGAAAGTGACCCCGCAAGGAAAGGGATACCATCAAGAGTTAGGACAAGAGCTACTAACCAAAATTTAGAATCGCCATAAAGAAATACCACCAACCAAAAGTTGGAATGAAACCACTGAATACCAACTAAGACTTTGAAAAGCGACTCTGTAGGGAGATCAAAAGGGGACCAACCAAAAGTTAGAATAACCTCACAAGAAAATATGACCACGTCGGGGATTACCAACCAAGAGCTGGGATGAAACATGTATACATGGAGTATAATCGAATGACTTACAACTTGGGCAAGAAGCTTTGCTAGGGAAGGAGAGGTTTAAACAATATCAACTGGAAAAACAGCTGGCCAAAGCGAAACCGGACTTAGCTTATGCTTCAGATGCATATGTTTGAATATGGCGTAATGCTCCATACGAAATGGAAATCCTACGCGTTTAGGAGGATGCTATGCAAAATGAAAATGCAAGAGAACACCACCGGAAGAAGTGTTGAAAAGAGAAACCACAAACCAAAATCTGCTGAGGAGAATGCCCTGAACGACCTTCCTAA